AAAGTGTAATTTAACACACCATAAAAACGTTAACTCTTGCATAATGACTGGTATTGTTTATTAATTTTTAATTCACTTTCTGTTTTTCAACTATTAGCTCTATTCCCATCTACCATTTTATTTCTGAACCTTAAATTATATTTGAAATCTTCCAAAAGGTTGACTGTTGTATTCCATCGTTAATTTTAAATAGTAAAACTCATAAAATTTCACTTATTCTAGTCGATCCCATTGTCTGTCACATGGACTAGAAGGTTAAATTAACAATTAATCTCTTTTGTGTTGAAGACTTGCATTAAAAATAAAAGCTGTATATCATGTTCATTTTAAATAGATCAGGCATTAAAATTTAAATCAAGAGTGAATAGACATAGTTTCATGGAGAAGTATATTTTAAAATTTTGATTTTGTGAAATAGAAAAAAAAATGTATGTATAAAATTACAGTTAAAAAGGACTTCCTTGTTTTTTAAGAGTAATAGTAACCTCTTTTATTAAGATTTTAGCTTTATCAAGCTTTTCATTATTACAATAATGGTGTGAGAGTACTATTTTATGACAAATTATTCCTGCGTAATGAGTCTGGTCTGAAAATTTATCTTAAAATTTACCATGGTTGGGCCACATCCCTGTTGATGTTGATAATAAACGTGTTATTTTTGTTTGAAGTGACGCAATGTGTTTTTCCCACATTTTGCCAATGTTTTTTACTAAGTTTGGTAGCTCTTCTTTTTCCTGCCATGCTATCAATATCATCAACAAGACACAAGTTAACAATGTGGACAGTCTCTTTATAGCTTTTTGTAACAGACTGTATTATTTAATTATTATATTGTATTCTAACATGAAGTTGCATGAATGTAGAGTACCTGGCCAACGGAAGGACTATGAGATCGCTCACTGTCGTAACGGGAGAGAAAGTAGTGTATAAAAGAGGAGCGCAAGGTGAACCGGGGTGCTTGCCTGTGACTGTGTAGTAAGATGTCACCACGTCAATTTGTTCTAGACTATAATGTGATAGTCAAATCTTTCTACTGTGGAATATTGTCATTTTCTTGTGGATCTATGTAAATAAAGTTTAAAGTTACAAAGTACTGTTGATCGTGTTCTTGGATGAACGAACCCACAATAAATATATATAACGACCGTATTGCCATAACAACAACATACGTGTGGTTACACTTTTTAAAACATCGTACATTTTTTTCTTCAAGAAGATATTGAAGAGGGTAGTTAAAACCAGACATTCCTGCCTCACCCCAACTGTGGTTTTTAAACTATCTATAATATAGCGCTGCTGGCAGTCATTGCTATAGATTTTGTAACCATAAAAGTAAACATCACACCATACAGTGCTTTTACAATGCACCGCATTGTCTTATTATGATTAATAGAGTAGGGTTTGTTTATATCACGACTTAAATTGATTTTATAGCTGCCAGCCAGTTTTTACACTTTTGAATAACGTGAAGAAAATATAAAATACACGTAAATTGCTAAAACATATTAAACGGATATATTTCTATTATTTCTATTAACAGAAATGTAATGGGGAACTTCAAATCAAAAAACAAAACAAAACTTAACTTGCTAACCGGTATGACACGGATTATAGAAACTGAGGTTGACCACAACAATGATGCTAAAGTAATAAACAATGCAATGTATTTTATAGATAGGGTTTTTTATATTCTATTAAATTTTAAAGCATTTTTGTCACAGCTCGTTGTATGTTTTAAAAATCTGTCAATTGAATTATCTTTCAATTAGTAACATTGTTTAGCTTACACTTACAGGTACACATGAAGTACAAGAATGCCTCGAAGGTCAAAGTGAAACCGATCTCTACAAGCACCTAGCGAACTGTAAGAAAAATCCTGGTCATTTGGAGTTTGTACCAGTAAATAAATTTACTGTTGAACACTTACCTTCAGATTACCGCGATAACGATATTTATGAACTTATAAAAGTTGTGGCTGACCTAACGGCTAGGACAGCCGTTAAATTCACCAGTCCAGAGAGACCAAAATTCAAACCTGATACTTAAGTCAGTAGCGTAGCGAGGGGGGGGGGGGATGAAATATGTCCCCGGGCGCCGACCTTAGGGGGCGCCAAAATGGGTTGAAAAAATAAATTGAAAGGTTAAGGGGGATGCAAATCGAAAGTTTGAGGGGGGGGGGGGGTTGCAAATCGAAAAGTTTGTCCCCAGGCGCCGGGAAGGGTCGCTAACCCTCTGACTCGAGTCCCTTACCCATGCTACAATAACAGGGGAAATAACTCTCTGAGAACAGGGACTGGATGGGTGCGTGATGTAGAAAAGTTTACAGAGGAATTTGATCCGTACATAAATTATCCATGTCCTGAGTGTGACTGGTGTGAAGTGTGGTGTGTGACACACGACTTAGAGATAGGTGACAAACTAGAGAAGATGAACAGTCGTTTTAATAATCTATGTAGGACCGTCAAAGACAACTACGAGAGTCGTAGAGACGTGGACAAGGTGACCATTATAGTATCACATCCTCATGGCTGTTCTAAGCAGGTGTCTATAGGTCACTGGGTACACAGACAGAAGGTAGGGTACAGAAGTAGGTACACGTACACAACTTGTACCTGCCCAGGTAGCAGTGGGGCTTGGGTCTACTGTTTGGGTCGTTTATTGCCGGCACATCCCCACAGTGGAGCTTATACTAACGGATTAAATTATAGCGGGGTGGAGTGGAAGTAACATAGCCAGCTGTCTGCACTTGTCTATAATGTAAACACGTAAATAAATATGGCGTCTGTTAAACGGTTATTAGCACAAACTAATCACATAGAATATATTCTATTTAAATTGTCTCTTTATGTTTGCTTGTAACATAACCAAAAAAGCGCGCGTTTTGTTGTAATTAAATCAATTATTGAAACATTCTAGTTTGTTAAGTTTATTGTGTGTGAGTAAATACAAATCTGATAAAATTTGCATTATGTTGTCCATGAGTTGAATATAATGTTTGGGGGTAGTTTGACTTTACCCCTGTGGTATCTTGAACCTTGCTAACTAAACGGTCCTTGAAACAGATTGAAGAGTTCACCAGTAACATCTGCATATGAAAGGATAGTGTGATCAGTATTATGCCACTGCCTGTATACTGTGGAAAGAATGAGGTCCTTTTTTTTTCGAATTTTTAATTATTCCTACAGCAGAAAAGATCCTACTTAAAATTGAATAAAATTTAGCCTTGTAGTTATCTCCCTTATCACTTGATGAAACTTGTATTATTGTGGTCAATTTGTTAAGGATTTCTTCCCGTCACAGAATATATTTAGCAAAATGCTTAAACAGCAAATTTTACATTTCTTTGAAGTAGAATTGGGATTTATTGAGAATACTAGATGTTTTTATTTTTAATCTTAAATTATATTTTGATATGGAATGTTCATTATATAATGCAAGTCTTTCTGTAAAAAAATGTTTTTATCCAGAATGACATCAAGCATTGAGTAATATGATACCAGATTAAGTGTAGATAAAAAAGCTTTAATCCTCAAAACAAAAATAAATAATGGGTAGTGTACAATATAAGATTATTGGTGCTATAACTATAATAACTAGCATAAAAATTCAACTTGTGATCCAATTACATAAAATTAAGCTATAAATGTGCTTAATATAGAGTAATACAGGCAGAATCATGATCTAAAGGTACAATATTATTAAAAAATGGAAAGGAAACTGTACTGAAAAAAAAAAATTCTGACAGTTGCCTTTTTATTTTTAATTTATACGTGACTACACACATTTTTAATTTGATGAAAAAAATTGGATACATTTGAACGCCAGCGACCGTTAGTATGGTTACTATTGATTACATTTATATTATGGGTTCATAAAATACAGAATATTAAAAAAGGGTAATAAATACAATTAACTGTAATCAGATTATTAATTTGATGCTATTATTAAATAATAAAATATAGGTATAGTGGTAAATTTATCAACATATTTTAAAAAACAGTACTTACAAAGGAGAGGATTCTTAACTATTTAAAAATGATAACATTAATTTGATGAAATCCAGTTTCTACAATGTAATTTTATAATCTATATGTACAATAAATGCCGTCTAATAATAGCATATAGGTTTGTAAGAGTAGATAAATGACATAAATGTGCCAAGCTCAAGTTATAAGGTTATGAATTAGAACAACAGCAAAAATTTTATCAAATGTACAAGCTTATTTATCTAGACACAACCAAGTTAACTTGTAAACAATTTACTTAATTTAAATGCAGTCCAAAACAAGGAGTTGATCACTGTAATAGAGTTGTTCAGTTTTTACTTATTTACAGTAAATAAGTAAAAAATTAACAACTGAACAACTCTATTCTTCATCAGTTTATATCTGAATCAATGTTTAAATAAGTAAATTGGACACCACAATAAAGAACAATTTATGATCATATTACTACATCTTAAGATGAGTTGGGTCAACGGGAAATGAAATGCCCAAGGTAAACAAGAACAACTTGTCTAAAAAGGATGGATCCACAATGGTTACAGAACCTATCTTGATAGAGAGCTGTTCGTGGCATACCACTTCCTGGGATGGTTGTGTGCAGGTTTTTAAACCTAACACAAATTTTATATAAGAAAATGATTTTCAGATCATTGAGTATCTGCATGTGAACCCTGGGTGCTAACAAAAACCTAAAAAAAAAAACCAACAATGAATACATGGTAAATAATCAACAAAGAGTACAATTTATATACAATACAAGGTTGAAATTTCTATTTCTTGATACAATTGACAGTGGTGAACATATTTAACAAAAATATTTTGTAACAGCAATTCAAAAACATCATTTAAAAGTATAGTTATATAGTGATTGCACTTATACCATGGGCTTATAAGATACAGAATATAAAATAATATTGAATAACTACAATTTACTATAATCAATTTATTACATAATAAATTAATTATAAGTATAAGCAATTTAGAAATTGAAAAAAAATGCAATGGCCTAGTTAGAGGTAAATCTATTATTACCATTATATTTTTTAAAACAAAAATTACAAAACGGTGATGCTGTTAAAAATAAATTTAAATGTTGACTTGAAATAAATTAGCTGAAAGGTGTTTCTAGTAATTTCACAATGAGCACTTTGATAGGTGGCTAAACTATACCCTCTGGATGAGCTGGGTACTAGGTAGATAAAAATAACAAGGCTGCCCAAATCAATTTCTGCTAAGACGACAAATCAATAATGGTTAAGGATTCTACATAACAGTAAAACCAGGATGACATTAAAACCCATGCAAAATATTGAATATACAGTACATTATCTACAAAAATAACAATTTATTAACAGGATTAAACTTTCTGTTTAATGATACATTTGGCAACCAATTTTTGTTTTATGTTTAAAAATCTAAATAATGTTAAGTAAAAATTTGTCAGACAAACGATACACAAAGAACATATTTTAATATATAATATTGAAAATCAGTAGGACATCTAAAAAAAAATTACATTACATAATGAAGGTTTTACTGTCCACATAAATTACTCTTCTAAACAAACATGTCACAGACACGTTATATACTTATTGTTTGCTTTGAGTGAATTTTTAAAAACTGTTTTTCTCTAGAATGAGTAATTTTATTGACAACCTTCAGTGGCTTCAGAGAAAACTTTTTATAATAAATCTTACTCAAATGTTGTAATCATACTGTTTTTCTTTGGTGTGAATATTTTTATGCCTAGATATGTCATATTTCCGAGAAAACAATTTATGACAAATATCACACTCATATTTTTTAACACCAGAATGAGTAGCTTCGTGCTTAGATAAACTTTTCTTAAGAGGAAACTTTTTATAGCAGATGACACATTCATAAGGTTTTTCTCCTGAATGAAGAATTCTATGGCTAGTTAAATAAGACTTCAAAGCAAATTTTTTATGGCAAATATCACACTCGTGTTTCTTTTCTCCAGAATGACTAATACGTTTATGTTTAGCTAAAGAATGCTTACGTGAAAAAATTGTATGACAAATGTTACATTCATGTTTTTCATCAGTATGATTAGTATGAATAATTTTATGTTCAGCTAATCTTTCCTTCAAAGAAAATTTTTTATGGCAAACATCACATTCATGTGGTTTTTCTCCAGAATGAAGAAATATATGGCTAGATAAATTTCTTCTTGAAGCAAACTTTTTATGACAAATATCACACTCATGTTTCTTAACTCCTGAATGAGTAATTTGATGCCTAGATAAACTAATCTTCAATGAAAATTTTTTATTGCAAATGTTACATTTATGTGGTTTTTCTCCCGTATGAATAATTTTATGTCTAGACAAAGTATGTTTCCAAGAAAATTTTTTATGGCAAATGTTACATTCATGTGGTTTTTCACCAGAGTGAATAATTTTATGTCTAGATAAAGTTTTTTTTAGAGAAAATTTCTGATGACAAATATCACACTCATGCTCTTCTCCTGAGTGAATAATTTTATGTTTTTTTAAAGTTAGCTTCCGAGAAAAAATTTTATGACAAATATCACATTCATGCTGTTTAACTCCAGAGTGAATTATTTTATGGGTTTTTAAAGTGCCCTTAGACGAAAGCATTTTATGGCAAATATCACACTCATGTTCCTTAATTCCAGAATGAATAGTTTTATGGTTTTTTAATATAGACTTTTGAGAAAAAATCTTTAGGCAAATGTCACACTCATATTTTTTAACTCCAGAACGAATCATTTTATATCTGCATAAATGTCTCTTAACATAAACTCTGTGACAAATATCACATTCACTTACCCTTGCCAAAGAGTGTGTCTTTTTATGATGAGATAAATAATACGGAGTAAATTTCTTATGACAAATATCACACTCAGTCACCTTATCTCCAGAATGAATAGTTTTATGCGTTTTTAAATAACTCTGTGAGAACTTTTTATGACAAATATCACACTCTTGTTTCTTACCTCCATTATGAATAGTTTTATGGGTTTTTAAATTACCTTTCTGAGAAAACTTTTTATGACAAATATTACACTCGTACTCATGAATTCCAGAACGAATAACAGGTTGAATGTCCTCAAATGTTGACACATCTGGTTTTATGTCCTCTGAAGTTGAAGTTGTTGCTACATCTGGTTTTATGTCCTCTAAAATCGAAGATGCTAATACTATGTCTCGTTTTATGTCCTCAAGAGTTGAAAATATTGAAATATCTGGCTTAATGTCAACAACGTTTGGAAATGAATTTGATACATTTGGCTTATTGTCTCCAAAATTTAAAACTTCTGAATCGATTGTCGCATCTGATTTAGATTCACAAGTTAAAGCAAAATTTTCTCCTTCTTCCATTCTTTTTATGTTTAGACAGATAGCTAAAAAGAAAAAAAAAATAAATACAAGTATTTGTTGGAAGTCATAGAGTGGAAAAATAGAATCCTAATTTATAAAAGCCCAATGTGCGCACATCTCTCTCTCTCTCTCTCTCTTTCTCTGTCCGCAAAAATTTTTCGCCGGACATCACGTCAGAATCGGCAGCGATATATCGAGAATTTTTTACGGACTTTTGTTGAAAATAATATGTTAGATGTTTTAAATGTATAACCACAATTTTATTTAAAGAAGAAAAATAAAAATTTAAGGCGTATTCGAATGTAGAGAAACAGTATTATTTATGCAACCGGAAAAGCATTAATATATGTGAAAAAGAACGCATAAAACTGTGACGTCACTATTGCTTATACATTAACTATTGACGTCATCTGCCTAAATAGCGAAGATGTTAGTGTACATTAAACCACGCAGGTGGTGCGGGTTCGAGACACACCAAGTCAACTTGGTTAATGTATTTATTTTTATTATGCTCGGGCTAAACTTAAAAAAAAATTCTTTTAGGAATCTAGATCTAGATCTAGATTGTCGGGTGTCCGATAGGGCACTTCCCGGCGCCGCAGGCGCTTCAAATTTGGCAGGATCTTGCCTTGGGGCGACAGAACACGGGGGCCGGTTGGCCGAAAAGTCTACGATGAGGGGGTCAAAACTGACCTCGACTGACCGGTACCTTATATGAGCTATAAATCGAAAAAAAATGTCCACGGAGTAAACCTCTTCATAACTCTTGAGGTCGTAGACCGACCCTCGGGCGAATTAATTAAGCATGCAAATTCTCAATGTTTTCGAAAGCCTAAGCGAAGCTGGGCAGCATGCCTAGTAATTAATAAAGGGAACAAATGTTTATTGACCTCGGCATATGAAGGGAATGTGTCTGTGGTCAGTACTTTGCCTAGCCGCCTTTACTTTCCCTAACATGTTTTAGGTACCCATCAGAGCTGGGTGGACTGACTTAGTGATGTTATACTGACTTAATTCTTGATTCAAACTCTAGACTTGTGTTGAAGACCTTAGTCTTTTTAAAAGTACCAAAATATTCCAAATGGCTGAGGTTTTTTCAGGTTCTCATGAAACCCGAAATTGTTTTCAACCTTATTTTGCTGATTGATAATTACTTTCATGTGACGAACATGGTAAAAATATTCTAAAGGCTTTAGATCTTAAATTGTAAAAAATAGAATTAAGTGACTACGTGGATCACTGAGTGTTCCAAGTATTATTTATGCAGGATGCATTCTAAATATTTTTTAGAATTTTTTAAACAAAATTTCCAAACTTCGTCACTCGCATGATTACTTGCTTAAGTTTTCTACCCCACAGGTGAAAATCCAACCACAATCAGTGGTGGTAACTGTGAGTTCAGAAGGCCTACGTCATAGAATGAACCCTTATTATATCTGAGATCGTATGTGTCTTTACTTATTTTGCTTCATGTCACCATTGAATTTCTAAGAAGACAAAAAGGATGATTATAGATACCGGTGTCCAATAATGGAATCTTCTTTAAAAAAGGGGTGTTGGGTTGTTAGTAGTATTGTAATTTGACTAATTTTATGGTTAGAAATTAGTGGTTTGGACTAGGGTTGGGGTTAGCATTGACATTAGCCAGCCAAGTGTGTTAACCAACAGTAACCTGACACCCCTTTTTTAAAGAAGATTCCATTATCAGACACCAGCATAAACTTTCTCCCGACAAAAAAACGTCAGCAGTCCTGATATCTTTTTTTTAGATTGTGTGCTACCTAGAGAGGAGATTCAACGAACCTTAGAGCGATCAGCGCAAATGTGGCAAGAATATCTGCTTCATAAGTGATAAATTATGCACTCTGAAGTAGGCAGAATTAGATCTAATTAAGAATCAAGAATTGGGACCTAGATTTTTAGATCTAGAGATCTAGATCTAGAAGCTAGTTTGGTTAAAAGTTAAGGAGTTAAAAAGACCAAACCTTCAAGCCTTGTTCAAGATGTTGCTTGTTTCTTTTCCAAATATAGAGAAACTAGTAATCTCAATGAACATCATCATAGTTTTAAACATTCTCTTGATTATTGGTTTAATTTAAGCTTGCAAGTAATACTTGTTAGATCTACATGATCATATGACAACTTACAACAAACTGACGAAACCCTTGGGGGGATTTCATCAACATAGGCCTAGATCTAGAATCTAGGTGTATTTTAAAGTATTTAATATTTATAGATTCGTGACCTCATTTCTGATGTGTTTGTATTTGTATCAAAACGTGCGTTACATCAGAAAAGAGAAACAGTTCTGTAAGCATATTTTAAAAAAATAAGAAACAATTTGCCGGGTGAATTTGGAGGACAAAACAATAAAGGGATAGATCTAGATCTAAATAAAATAAAAAAAATATATAATATAGCTAGATCTAATCTAGATCTAGATCTAGTAGTAAATACTAAATTCAAGTAAACAAACCAAATTGATTCTGCCTTTTAATTTTATAAAAATTGTGTTTAGTGAACGAAAATACTAAAAAAATCAAATAAATTAAAGTTTTTAAAGGCCGTCATAAATCAGTCAGGTTTTTGTAACCGTATTTATTTTAAAAATATAACACCAGATTTTTAAAATATTTTATATAGATCTAGATTTTCTAGGTCTAGGCCTACACAATTAGATCTATAACACAATTTTATATTTTTTGTGACACAAAATGGCTGAACTAGATCCAGATCTAGATTTAGGTCATGTGGTAGTTAAAAATTGTCTTGGCAAAGTTTTGAGTACAAATTTGAAATTATTAATTACTAGATCTAAATCTGTGAGCTTTTTAATGAAGTAGATTTTCAGAATATCGATCATACACAGCCAATCAATGTTTGTCTTTACGAAAGTGAAACTTTAAATCTAGTCGGAGTTTATTGCCTCGGCTTGGCCTTGAGGTCTGCTCGGCTGCGGGAGGGTTCTCCTGAGTCCATAATGACGTAAAGTCTGTGACTGTGTCACAAGAAAGAGGGTGACACCAAATCGGACAAAAACCTTTTACGATTATTTATCCAGTTAAAAAAATGAAAAAGAAGAGTGTGTGAGGGGGAGTGGGGGGGGGGGGGGGGGCGGAACAACAAACCCAAACGCAAAATTGTTTAAGGGTGTGAGGTGGCACACTCAACACATCGGGTGACCTAGTGACACCACTGTCCGAGCATACTGCTAAATAGCCTTGGCTTAAATTCGAATGAGCCAGTTTCAAGTAAACAGTAGTAAGTTAGAGAGGCATAATATAGGTGTAAACCTAATGATGGCATTGCATCAGAGGCGAAGCGAGGGGGGGGGGGGGGGGTCGGGGGTGGGGGTGGGGTGCGGACCGCACCGGGTGACACCATTTAGGGGAATGACACCAAGGCAAAAAATAGCAAAATATATAGAGAAAAATGATAATTCCACTTAATTAAGTGATTCATTCGAGTGTTAAATAGTGTTCTAAGAGGTGCAAATCGAAAGTTTAGAGGCATAATATAGGTGTAAACCTAATGATGGCATTGCATCAGAGGCGAAGCGAGGGGGGGGGGGGGGGTCGGGGGTGGGGTGCGGACCGCACCGGGTGACACCATTTAGGGGAATGACACCAAGGCAAAAAATAGCAAAATATATAGAGAAAAATGATAATTCCACTTAATTAAGTGATTCATTCGAGTGTTAAATAGTGTTCTAAGAGGTGCAAATCGAAAGTTTAGAGGGGGGTGGGGGGGGTGGGGATGGGTGCAAATCAAAAATTTGAGGGGGTGCAAATCAAAAGTTTGAGGAAGGGGGGTGCAAATTGAAAATTTGTCCCCGGTAAGGGTCCCTACGCCTCTGGGAGAACCCTCCCCCAATTAAAATCATTTTTAATTTCTTATTTGCTGAACTCACAGACGAACAGACTCCTCCCCACACACAACTTTTGAACCAAACACTGATGCCATATTAGGCATATTCAGAATGACATCATACAGGGTAAATATTGATTTATAAGATACCTGATTTAAGCTATGTATCAAATGTTCAATATAAGATTCTAGATGCTATGGGTAATGTTCAATATAAGATTCTAGATGCTATGGGTATTGTTCAATATAAGATTCTAGGTACTAGGGGTAATGTTCAATATAAGATTCTAGGTACTAGGGGTAATGTTCAATATAAGATTCTCTGTGCTATGGGTAATGTTCAATACTTCATAGACAATGAACAGCATGAAGAGTTAATAACATGAAAATGCTAAAACTATAAATGTGTTCAACAAACCAAATAATGACATAGTCGTGACAATTTAATAAAAGACACTAAAAGTAAACTGCTCGGAAAATGTGCCTTTATTTTAAAATTATACACAAGTTCAAAATTTTAAAATTAGATATTTCTAAAAAAATATTCTGAAACAATTTTAAACAATTGTAAGCCTTAGGAATGTTTACCATGATGTGATTACATTTATACCATAGCCATATAACATACAGAAAATAAAAATATGCAATAACCACAATTAATTATAACAAGTAATTACACAATAGATTCATTAGAAGCAATTAGATATTGAACATTTAGGCCAGTAGTAAATCTTTTATTAGTTATTAAAAACACTGACAAAGGAGATACATTTTAAATTAAAATGTTGACCTTTAATTAATTAGATGAAACCCAGTTTACTTAATATGTCAATATTCATAATGTAATTTTCTTTCTATTAATCAATGTCTCATTAGGAGTTAGTAGTATTCTTCCAATGAGCATCTTGATAGGTGGATAGAAAACACCCTCCAGATGAGCTGGGTGCCTAGGATATAAAATACCAAATCAATTTTTGGCTGGACAGATCAACAGTGGTTAAGGATCCAACATGGAAAGTGAACTCCATAGAGGGCTGTATGAGGTATCTCAGTAAACTCCATAGAGGGCTGTATGGGGTATCTCAGTAAACTACATAGATGGCTGTATGGGGTATCTCAGTAAATTCCATAGAGGGCTGTATGGGGTATCTCAGTAAACTCCATAGAGGGCTGTATGGGGTATCTCAGTACATAGAGGGCTGTATGGGGTATCTCAGTAAACTACATAGATGGCTGTATGGGGTATCTCAGTAAACTACATAGAGGGCTGTATGGGGTATCTCAGTAAACTACATAGATGGCTGTATGGGGTATCTCAGTAAACTACATAGAGGGCTGTATGGGGTATCTCAGTACATAGAGGGCTGTATGTGGTATCTCAGTACATAGAGGGCTGTATGGGGTATCTCAGTAAACTACATAGAGGGCTGTATGTGGTATCTCAGTACATAGAGGGCTGTGTGGGGTATCTCAGTAAACTACATAGAGGGCTGTATGGGGTATCTCAGTAAACTACATAGAGGGCTGTATGGGGTATCTCAGTACATAGAGGGCTGTATGGGGTATCTCAGTACATAGAGGGCTGTATGGGGTATCTCAGTACATAGAGGGCTGTATGGGGTATCTCAGTACATAGAGGGCTGTATGGGGTATCTCAGTACATAGAGGGCTGTATGGGGTATCTCAGTAAATAGAGGGCTGTATGGGGTATCTCAGTAAACTCCATAGAGGGCTGTATGGGGTATCTCAGTAAACTCCATAGAGGGCTGTATGGGGTATCTCAGTAAACTACATAGAGGGCTGTATGGGGTATCTCCCCTCCTCTGGCAGTGAAACCTGGGTGACAATAAAAACCATGCAAAATAGTGAACCTTAAGTACAATACATAATCTACATAAATTACAATTTATTTAAAAAATTAAATATTCTATTTTTTTTATAGATTTGGCAGTCGGAGAATACAATTTAAAAAAAAAAATTATATATAACATTCTACCAATTTTTTATATAATGGATATAGTGTTCATGAAAAATATTCAAGTCTACCAACACACAAAGTATGAATATTATATTTAAATTTAAAAAACTGAAGTTCCTTTACATTTATTTTCAACACATACTACATACATCAGCCTCCAAAATGAGTAATTATCTGACCAAACATGTAACAGACATAATATTTATTTTAATTTTTGTTCACGATGAGATAATTAATGTTTTAAATTATAAGAAAACATAACAAGAAATGTTACATAAAAACTGTTTTTCTCGACAATGAGTAAAACAGCCTTACAACTAATATTTTTATAATAAATCTCCTTCACATTTTACTGTTTTTCTCTCGAGTGAATAATTTTATGCCGAGAAATATCATATTTCCGAGAAAACAATTTATGACAAATATCACACTCATGTTTTTTAACACCAGAATGAGTAGCTTCGTGCTTGGATAAACTATTCTTAAGAGGAAACTTTTTATAGCAGATGATACATTCATATGGTTTTTCTCCTGAATGAAGAATTCTATGGCTAGTTAATTGGGACTTTAAAGCAAATTTTTTCTGGCAAATATCACACTCGTGTTCCTTAACTCTATGACGAATACTTTTATGTTTAGATAAAGAATTTTTCCGAGAATATATTTTATGACAAATGTTACATTCGTGTTGTTCATCAGAATGAGTAATTTTATGTTTAACTAAGGCATCCTTCAAGGAGAATTTTTTATGGCAGATGTCACATTCATGTGGCTTTTCTCCAGAATGAAGAAATATATGGCTAGTTAAAGTACTTTTCCAAGCAAACTTCTTATGACAAATATCACACTCAAGTTTCTTGATTCCAGAATGAATCATTTGATGCCTAGATAAACTTATTTTGAAAGCAAATTTTTTATGGCAAATGCTACACTCATGTGGTTTTTCTCCCGAATGAGTAACTGTATGTCTAGACAAAGTATGTTTCAAAGAAAATTGTTTATGGCAAATGTTACATTTATGTGGTTTTTCTCTCAAATGAATAATTTTATGTCTAGATAGAGTAAGCTTCAAAGAAAATTGTTTATGGCAAATGATACATTCATGTGGTTTTTCTTTCAAATGAATAATTTTATGTCTAGATAAATCTCGCTTGAAAGAAAAATTTTGATGACAAATATCACACTCGTACTTTTTTTCCAAGTGAATTATTTTATGGCTAGATAAAGCTTTCTTTAGAGAAAATTTGTTATGACAAATATCACACTCATGTTGTTTTCCTTCACAATGAAATTTTTTATGTCTAAACAAATCACTCTTATTAAAACAAATTGTATGACAAAGATCACATTCATTTGTCATTTCCTTCGAGTGAATTTTTTTATGCTCATATAAATACTTCAGCGAAAACTTTTTATGACAAACATCACACTCATGTTTTTTAACTCCAGAATGAATAATTTTATGCCGAGATATATCATATTTTCGAGAAAATAATTTATGACAAATATCACACTCATATTCCTTAATTTCAGAATGAATAATTGTATGCTTAGTAAAGTTTTCCATCAGAGAAAAAGTTTTATGACAAATGTTGCATTCGTATGGTTTTTCACCAGAATGAATGATTTTATGCCGAGCCATATCATATTTTCGAGATAAAACTTTATGACAAATATCACACTCATTCTCTTTAACTTCAGAATGAACAAGTTTATGCTGGGACATATCACGTTTTCGAGAAAACAATTTTTGACAAATGTCACACTCGTACTTGTTAGCTCTGGCAGTAATCGTTTTAGATTTGCATACATGTTTGTTAACAAAAACTCCGTGACAAATTTCACACTCATTTACCCGTACCAACGAGTGAATCTTTTTGTGCTGAGCTAAGTAAGTCAGGGAAACCTTTTTATGACAAATATCACACTCTTGTTTATGCTCTCTAGAATGAATAGTTTTATGGGTTTTTAAATTATTCTTCTGAGAGAATTTTTTATGACAAATATCACACTCATGTTTTTTAACTCCATAATGAAAAGTTTTATGGGTTTTTAAATGACCTTTCTGAGAAATCTTTTTACGACAAATACCATTCTCATAAACTCTTGAATGAGTAATCTTATGCTCAGATAACCCTTGCTTCACAGAAAATGTTTCATCACAAATATCACACTCATGTTTTTCCGCAGAGTAAATTATATTATTTAAACTTGATATATCTAAATTTAAATCACTGTGAATCTCTGAACTCAAAAGAGTCACTTTTTCTCTATAAATAGCAGAATGTATTGAATTATTTATCTGCATATTTGAACCATATGGCTTCTCATCTTCAGAAGTTTCAAATGTGACAACATGTTGTATGTCCTCAATAGTTGAAAATGCTGACACAACTGGTTTAATGTCCTCAAAGCTAGAATATGTTGATAGTATGTCTGGCTTTATGTCCTCTAAAGTTGATAATGTTGATTCGTCTGACTTGATGTCCTCAAAATTTAAAAGATCTGAATTGACTGTCACATCTGATTTAGATTCAAAACTTATTGCAATGTTTTCTCCCTCTTCCATTCTTTTTAGGTTTAGACAGAAAGCTAAAAAACAAAAAAAATTAAATATTTATTTGAGAGCAGAAATAGAAAATAGAATAATTAATAAAGAGTTTTAAGTTATCTTAATATTTAATTGGTAAAGTTCTGCAATGTTATAAATCCAAGTTAAGCTACTCTATTTGAATTTTTAAAGTGCACTTTTATACTTGTATATGTCTTATCTTATACTTTGCGACATATTTTTAAATTGGCAATAATAAAGTAATTTTTCTATTACTAATTAATCAATTCAAATGCTACCCATTTTGTAGATGTGCTGATATGTATATAATAATTTACCTATCAATACCTCTGAGATGAATCAAAGAAATATCTCTGTATCAATTACACAAAATGCCAAAAACAAATATGGTAACAAAGTTACTGGGGCTGTTTCCAGACAGTTATTTGCTAATCATTCATTGCTTTTAATTAACTTTTGCTAATAATGGAGGCGGCCGAGTTGACGAGAATCCTTGAACAAACAAATAACTATGACGTGGGGCTGAAATCGATCATGGAGTTCCTGTAATGTGTGTCTAACGAAACATCTGGTTATAACTTAGGCTTGATGAAAATAAATAGAAATGTAGCCTTAAACTCATCAAATTATATTCAAGTTTTCTGTATTAAAGTGTATTTGCAACTTTTATAGCATCGATTCTAAAAATATTAACTTTCTGAATTATTTTTAGGTTGAAGTTTTTATTTTTATTTTTTTTACGGTTTTACTCTGTTGCCTCCATTAAAATTATTAAATGTAGGCCCTATCTGTAGGCATATTATTGGTAATCTACCGTTTTAGGTACATAACATTGGCCGAGACTAGTAATGTGAAAAAAGATGACTCATTAAATTTTAGTAATTATTCGCAATTTTAGGATGATTTTTTTTTTGAAAGTTACATAAATGTTTCAAAGTTTCATTAATGTACCTGATTTTAAAATATCCTATTAAAACTTTTCAGAAATAAATAAAGACTAGCAATGTTTCCATCAGATGCAGCCAAGCTCATTTACTTTAGCAGCCATCTTGTTTAAATCTTTTTTGGTAAAATTATAGTTAGAGATTCAGGGGAAACCACTCTAACTTACAGAAGGCCGCTGTTTATATAGCAAATCTTGCTCGCAAACACTGCTGTTTAAATTTAAAGTTAGTTTCTGGCCTATAGGCCAGGCCTATTGATTTAGCCTTTGATTTTGGTTTATTATTCAGTTATCTAAAATATTTGACACACATATATCACAATATTCTTGTATTAAAGCCTTGACAATGAGGCAACTTTTTTGCACATTACTAGCATCGGCCGATGATTTTACGCACCTAAAACAATAGAATTTTAGATTAGGCCTACCCTATTTTTTACTATTTACTAATTTAATATTTAGGCCTATTGTAATTTTTTTTATTATTACCTATTACTAATAGGGCCTATTAGTAATTTAGTATAGTAGTATAGTTAGACCTTCTCTTAGTTGAACCTCTGTTGATGTTAAATAATATTAATATGTTGTTGATTTGGAGAATAGAAAATAATGGAATATTTATTTTGAATTGATAAGAAAAGGTATTTGAAAAAGGCGATTTTAAAATTCTAAATCTAAACTGTTAGATCTAGAGTCTAGATCAGTGGTTCCCAACCTTTTTCGAGTGGCGACCCCCTTTTATAAAAATTAAGTGACCCGCGACCCCCATAGAATTAAAAAGCCGAAATTAGTATGGGAATCAATAAGCACTAAAATTAGTTTTTCTAGTAGACTTTCAATATGAACTACTCTTGATAACTGTTTTAATACCATGAGTAAAATTGCATACTATTCACTAAACATTCGCGGTTAATTTTTGTTTTAAAGTCTTTTTTTTTGTTAACGCCAACCTATGTCATTATCATTATCTTAATTTTGTTTTTAATCGAAAAATAGTGTTCGAAATAAAATTATATTCTCGAAAAGTCAATCAATTTTACGTTTGGATATAAATAGTTAATACTACACCAAAATTGTGTCTGAAGTTTTTCGTCTTACGCGGAATCATTCTACAAATCAAAGAATTCATCTTGTAATTCATCGGGAATGCTGGCAACATCAAGGGAAGAAGAGATTGGATAATGCATCAATGCAAATTCTTTTTTTTTTCAGCTCAGAGAAATAGCGCTGCAGTTTGTTTTCAATAGATTCAAGATGTCCAGAAATTTCTTCTTTCAAAATTTTAATTATCTCACAATTAGATTCATCTACCACACTGCAGAGTTTCTCAAAATTAAAATATTTCCAAGATTTATTTTCTTCGCCGATTTTGCAGCTTTGATAAAAATGCCCCGAGATTATCATGGAATGTGATAATATTCGTTAATTTTCCCTGAAGCTTCAGGTTATGCTTATGTTGATGTTGGAACACATCTGCTAGGTATGATACTCTCTCCAACCACTCTATGTCGTTTTAAGTATACCAAAAGGTCTTGTTTCCTTTGCATTTCCAAGAACAATTTGATTTCAGATTTCAATTCAAAAACACGATTCACAATTCGTTTGACAGCCAGCGCACTGTAGTGTAGAAGAGCAGAACCTCATGATCTTTATTTAGGTTTTTGCTCAGTTCTTTGAAGGCTCCAGATTTTATATAATTTACGACTTATACTAGCAATGGAGTCTTGATGGCGATTGGTGAGGGCAGTGGTTAGGGAGCTAAATCTTTTCTGCTTTCTGAAAGCCCGATTTTGACCTAAACATAGATGGTGGAACATCCGTACAAACCCTCAGAGCCGTTTTAACACATTTTAATCATCCAATTAAAAAAAAAACGTATTTATTTTCTCCATGCTATCTTCACGAAAGAGCAACTCTTCTTTGCTATCATCTGAATAAATATAGACAAAGACCAGCAACTGCGAACATGAACTCGCGTCCAGAGGCGTAGCGACCCTTCCCGGCGCCCGGGGACATACTTTCAATTTGGCGCCCCCCTCGGGAGCAAATTTTCGATTTGCACCCCCCCCCCTCAAACTTTTTATTTGCACCCCCCCCACCTCAAACTTTCAATTTGGCGCCCCCCCTAAGGTCGACGCCCGGGGACATATGTCCCCCCCCCTCGCTACGCCTCTGCTCGCGTCTGTTGATTTATCAACTTGAAAAGCAAACAATTGTGAAAGCTTAATTTCAATAAAAATGTGTTATTTAACATCTACGGACATTTAAGAATTAACTTCACCATCTTCAACATGCAGCGTTTGATGAGATTTTCTCCTATTGTGTTTTTTTTTTTTTGCTTGGCATTTTCTGTCGCGGCTTCATGTGATGCTTGCACTAATGCTGTGTTTCCTTGGTGAAAACTTCCTGTTCGACCAAGTCTCTGACGTTTACAACTAGCTTCATACCGACGAAAAAACTCCATATTTTTTTTGGTGTGTTTCGAATGACTCGTGTTAAATGACGTTTTAGTTTTGAAGATTTCATAGATTCGTGTTTGAGAACAACTTTGTACAGTACGCTTTGCTTCTTCTCTATTCCCTTTCCAGTGATGTTAGTAAAGCCGAATTTCAAAAATTCTTCTAAATATTTATGTTTTGTTTCAAATTACTAAGGTTTAGTATACCAGTTGGCGACCCCCCAGAAAGCCCTTCGCGACCCCCAGGTTGGGAACACGTGGTCTAGATCTAGATTCTAAACAGAATTTACTGAAAGTTATCTTCCCTTGTTCCGCTTAGTTTAATAACAACAAGAGTAAACTAAGAGTCTAAAAGCTACTAAAATAATTTAAATTTAGATAGATTGCGATCTAGATCTAGTAGATTAGCATTAACTTACATTTTCCAGTTGATATAGCAAAACACAACAAAAAAATCGATCAGTGATTCTACTCGCTCGATTCTAGAATTTTAGGAGGGGTTCATCACGTCAGGCGTTCCAATGAATGATGTAGAATGTAGGCTATTTTATTAAGAGAAGTGACCTCATTTTCCGATCCTGCGATTGGATAATAATGTGCATCGCGTCAGAAAAGTGTAACAGTCCAACTTGCGGATAGGCCTAGGCCCTAAAAAAAAATGACACAGATTTTATCTCCTATATGCATTATACAATAATTAAAAACAGACCTACAAATTAATTTAAAAAAAAAAATGCATCCGCCGAACGGTGTAACGTATGTTGAATTTTGCTAAGATCCGGGTTTTAAACTAAACCACCAGCCTGTCTGACAAGGGAAACAGTCCATTATAAATTCAGCACACTCATCTTAGCTTGGTTATATCCCCTTAATAAGCATTCGATAGAATTTGAGGGCATGGATGTTCTGATAGCTGGTAATTAGCAAACGTTTATGAGTGTGTACTTAACAACCTAGCTAAATTTCATGTCAGTCGGGTGAATGATGCAGTAATTTTCATAAAAGTTTAGCGTACCCAAAACGCGCGTTGCCGAGGGCTGACGTCATATTTTATGAGTAATTCATCAATGTGTAACCGACAGAGGCGTAGGGATTCTTCCCGGCGCCCGGGGACAAACTTTTCGATTTGCACCCCCCCACCCCTCAAAATTTCGATTTGCACCCCCCCCCTCAAACTTTCGATTTCCACCCCCCACCCTTTGAGATTTCGATTTGCACCGCACCCCCCCCCTCAAACTTTCGATTTACACACCCCTCAACCTTTCAATTTATTTTTCCAACCCATTTTGGCGCCCCTTAAGGTCGGCGCCAGGGGACATATGTCCCCCCCCCCCCGCCCCCCCCCCCCCCCCCCCCTCGCTACGCTACTGGTAACCGGTAACCAATATTAAATCAATCTTGTATTTATAAACGCGTTACATTGTTTTCTGAAACTTAGTTATTCAAATGTAAACAAATAAGGCTCTTTAATTCTTGGGTCACAGCTTATGGGGCGCGGGTTCGTTTACGCTAACGCTCAGACGCCACAATACATACTGTATGAAATAATTGAGTTTACGTTAAGCACCCTCAGTAATAGTATACCGAATACACATCGGTTATACTAACGCAGGGGTGCCGAGTGCAAACCCGGCTTTGGTTTAGTCACCGTGTCCCTTTTGTAGTTGCTATAGCGGCATAGGGCGACCAAAGCTTTTATTTAAGAAAGCAAGATTGTTTTTATTTTTAGTATTTTCAGTGTATTTATTACAAGCTTGTTATTGTAAAGGTTTTTATATTTGTTTTATTCCATAGTTTGAAAGAATAATTTGTTTTGCTTAATCATGTTTTTCTAAAAACTTCTTGACTCTGGGGTTTTTGTCTGAATTGGGGCAAAAATTTGAAACTCACTCCTGATTTGAAATTTGGGACGACATAATAAATGTAGTTTTATAATTGTTACTTCTTATCACAATTTTCTGGGCCATCATAATATTTTCTAATTGCTGAATAATTATTTAAATAAAAAAGAATGTACCCCAGTAAACTAATCGGTCAACTTACTTCATGTCTAAAGCAAATATATCTGTTAGGCTTTCCTCTTAGTTTATAAATATGTCCCTTTTAATAGGTTAAAAATATATTTTGCAATCTATCAAAATGACGACCTTGTTTGTATAGGTTTGACGCAGTGGTAATTTTAGAAAATCAGGGGAAAAAACTAATACTGTCTTACTTGGGAATAATTTTCATGATTGATTCCCTTTATCTGTATGTAACTAGGGGAAGCTACCGACAATAGTTGTCCTGCTGTTTTAGAGGTGGGGACAACGCGACCACCCGCGAGATTTGACCGACATCGCCTGTACCCATTTATCAACCCGGGCGTGTCCAGAGTGATCGTACCTGCTGTGCCAAGATAGCAGAAACGATGGTCAGGCAGACCTTGGGTAGCAAGGAGCTTGACCGCCCAGACACCGATTAGATCTTGACACCTAAGGCGTTAAATAGCGACCCACCGGCCATCGCCCTTAAAGTATCTGGAGCTGACCAGGTTTTGATCACGGGCTGCGGGACCTTCACTAGCAGCAACAGGTAATTTACGTCGCACAGGGCGAGATTGAGAGTGATGTACGGGGAGGACGGACTGTTACTTTGAAAGCTAGGACATGACTTATCGACCTTCGGGAATATTCTCAGATTCCAGGGTTAGCCAATAGATACGGAGCCCAAGAAACATGACCGGACAATACGACCAGAAAACACTTGCAAGACTGTAGACTAAACTCTGGTTCTGGCACGAAGCATAAATCCAGAATAGGAAGAACTAGAACGGACGTGTTTCCTGGGTAATAGACCGGACTTAGGGGTGAATAAGAGGGTTAGTGTGAATGTTGAGTATGAATGTACGTTGTTAGTTGATTCATTGTGAATTTTAAGTACGAATATACGTTGTTAGGTTGCAAGCTATTGGGGTGAAAGACTAGTTGATGATTGTGATGATTAACCTTTTTTATAGTTGATTTCTTTAAAGACTTTGGAGGTCTGTTGGTTTTTTTTTTAATTTGTGTGTGTGTGTGTGTGTGTTGTTGTTACTACCACAATAAAAAAAAAACAAACCTACCATCGTGCAGAGGACATCATGCTTACTTCATTAGTTTTATATGGATATTGTATAGAAATTAATTAAAACAAACGGGAGGTGCCTGGAGTAAAATTGTGGACTTTCTGGGCCATCAGCTACCAAAAAAAAAATAAAGTTGAGTTATTAAAAAAAAGAAATTAGTAACTAATTATCAACAAAAATAGTTTTTCTTAGTGGCTAAAAATTGCTGTATTAGATAAAGAATTTATAACAACGTTAATACCATAGAGACGTCGTCATATGCATGTAATAAGACAGGAGTATTTGGTAAAGGTTTAAACACTATTAAGGGGAAAGAAGTGGTGCTGTTTTGAATTGTGCTGTATTTTTCATTATTGTCTCCCTTTGACCGTCTACCTCGTTTGTTAAAAATCAAGTTTGATGTCTGTCTAATAAATTGTGTTTAGTTAAACCTACTAAGCAGCTAATTGATCTACCCTTTCATTTGCCCAACATTGATATCTAGGTCAGTGATTTTTAACCTACCGAGATACCGAACCCGACATTTGCACATTCATTGAACTCTTCTTAATAATTCTATTGTCAGAAACAATTATTGAAATAAGACAAGAGTATGTTAGTTGTCAAATTCATAAACCTTTATCACAGGCGTAGCGACCCTTCCCGGCGCCCGGGGACAAACTTTCGATTTAGCACCCCTCCTCGAACTTTTCATTTGCACTCCCCCCCCCCCTCAAACTTTCAATTTGCCTCCCCCCCCCCTTTAGGCGGCGCCCGGGAACATATGTCCGCCCCCCCCCCCCCCCCGCTACGCCTCTGTTATTTTCATTGTTGTCTCCATTTGACCGCATTCCTTAAACACTTAAACTTATTTAAGTTGCACTAAGCAAAAACAAAATGAAAGGGGATGGGGGTGGTGTGTGTCCTACGTGTTGTGGTTGCTTCTATTCATGTGCTTATGTTTATGATATCTTTTTGTTGAGGCATTTGTTAAAAATCAAGTTTGATGTCTGATAAACTTTTTATGACAAATATAAGATTTATATTCTTTAAGTCCAGAATGAATAAGTTTATGGTTTAATAAAGTTATCTTTAACAGAAAACTTTTTAATAACAAATATATTGACATGGTTTTTCTCTATCATGAATTATTTTATGGCTTGATACATCTCCTTTATGAGAAATTGTTTTATGACAAATGTTACACTCATGTTCATTAACTCCAGTATGAGTAATTTCATCATAATCAAAGAAGTCTTTTGAAAATACATTTTAAGGCAAATATTACTACCATGCTCCTTAACTCCAGTATTAATAACTTTATGTTAAAATAGATTACCCTTTTGAGAAAATGATTTGTGACTAATATAACATTCACGTTGCTTTTCTCCAGAATAACTTCAATTGTTGAAACTTAATTTTTCGAAATGGTTCACATGCATATATTTTAAATCCTTTAAATCACTGTATTTTATAAGAAATACTTTTTCTTTACATGTAGATGAATCTGTTTGAATTGCCAATCTGTTGTTATAAAACATCTGGAACAGCTCCACATCAACATACCTCCAGGCTACAGTCTCTTTAATTTGATATACTTTTATTTATTTTTATCCCATCATCTTATAAGGTATAAATTATAAATTTGGGATAAATACAATTACACAGGAAATTGTTAAGAAGCAACTTAACAAAATAGTAAAATATGGAACATCAAACCAAACATATGTATATATATATATATATATATATATATATATATATATATATATATATATATATATATATATATATATATATCCTGTCCACCATGGCCAGTCCTCGGACTGGGCTGACCGGCCAAAGGCCGAAATCAAGTAAAGTTTCGGACTTTGACCAGTCAATAGGAGGCGATATTGGCCAATGCGTGATTTGGCCAACTTCGGGCTTTGACCGGAACATATATATATATATATATATATAATATAATATATAAAATAATATATATATATATATATATATATATATATATATATATATATATATATATATATATACATATATATATATATATACATCTATATATATAAATATGGCGAAGGACAGGATTAAACGACATTGTCTCAGAAGTTCGAACGAGGAGATGGAGATGGCTGGGCCATGTCCTACGCATGAGCAAAAAAAAGACTCCCCAACATGGCGCTGAAGTGGAACCCACCCGGAAAGAGAAATAGAGGAAGACCACTGGGGAGATGGAAGAAGTACAGGCTACTGGCAAAACCTGGCATGAACTAAAGTGGCTCGCCCAGGACAGGGTGGAAAGGCGGAGATTCGTTGCTGCCCTATACTTCACAGGGAGTAATGAGGATTAATGGAATGGAAATATATATATATATATATATATATATATATATATATATATATATATATATATATATATATATATATATATATATATATATATATATATATATATAATAAACAACCCCCACGTAACATTTGGTGTCAGAAGTGGGATCCAGATGATCCCTCTTTCTCGAACAACTAAATCCCCCTAACATATATAACAATAGTAATTGTCCTATGTCTCATTTCAGTATTCTCGGCAATTTTTTTTTTAATTCTTAAATACAATTTTAATGAGAAAATTTAAGATCAATTGTCTTACTACAAGTTATCAAACTTTTTTAGTCTATTGCGATTTGTAAAATCTTTATTTGAACTAAATTGGTGGTCGTATGTCGTACTCAAACATTTCAAAATCAGCTTGAAATTTTTCTTGAATAGCTCTGACATGCGCAGACGTCACAGTTTTATACGCTTCGACAAGTGACGACCGTCTCTGTGTTTGGGATTCCTCTTTTGTGATCGGGTTTCCCCTAACCAAGTTCTCTAAAACTGTGCGAACAGTTGGCTCAGTGTAATCAGGAAGGTCTTCGGGAAATTGAGAGCTTGATCGTATGTGACCATTGGCTTGAAAAACATACCACATACTTCTGACTAACTCTTTATTTGACAAACATTTGGTTAAATTATGCATCTTGTAACTCAGGTAGTAGTCTGACAGGATAGTATAGATTTCTATCACTGTATAATTGACAAAGTCGATATCCCTTAACAGATGAATGTAGTTGAAATATTTTAAAATCTCGTTGGCGTCTCGCGAAAACGTTTCCATTTTCCCGATAAAGTGCGGGTCGAACTCACACGGGTTGCAGGTTGCAGCCACTGTTCTCATATGGTTGTCAGTTGACGTCATGGCATGCGAGAGAAACTCACTGAAACTGACGTTGTTTTTACAGATATCCGAGGAAAACGTACGCCTGACCCAAAAAATCTGGCAAGTAGAATTTGTCCAGGTACACACTCCACAGCCGCGCGTACGGATCTCTGGTGAACATGAACTTTTTGGCCGTGGTAGGAAGTTCAGGTTTTAGATTATCCCAGTTTTTATTTCCAATAGGAAGCAAAGGCCCATAGTGGACTTTTCTACGCTGTATTTCAAACGGGGATGTGATATTCAGCCGTCTCATCTCATCTGCACGACTGATGAAGCTGAATATCCGACCCCACGTGGTACAGCCGGCCTTGGCAACGTGACAGTACACCATGTTCTTTGGGTTGTCGTAGAGGATGGACCAGGTGTTTAGTTTTTTACCCAGGTTCAACGCCCAGTGGGACTCACAAGCTTGCTTCATCACAAGACGACGATTTTCAAATACGTCAGTCATACTTTCGTCTTGATACATCTGAAATAATCGTACATATATATACACAAAAGAAAAGTAATTTCCTCATTAGACCTAGCCATCTATCCGGCAGTCAAAAACAAATTTGAAATATTTCTTGACCTCGACCTCTGAAGGAATGTTGTGGTCAGCACTATGCCCAGCCGCCTTTATTTTCCACAACGTAAATTGAGTAGCCATCAGAGATATGTGGACTCAGTGACGTCATACAGTCACAAAGCCGAACCGAGATCTGAACTCGATATCTTCAAACTAACAACCAACGCTCAACCGTTCGACCACGCCGCCATTATTAGGAACATATATCAAAAGATAAAAATGAGCGGGGATCATCAAAATATGATGGATTTATGGATCTCAGATGCGTAAAATATTTTACATATTTACTAACTAAGCCAATGAAGTTGATAGGAATCATAGTAAAATACTTACAATTTTGGGCAAATGTTGTTTCTTAATCCAGTCTGTAAGAAATCAAAAGAAATCAAAAGAAATATAGTTGTATACAATTAATACAGCATTTAGACGTAGCTTATAAAAACTTTAAATGTAAAATAAATATCTCGAGCCTGATAAAAATGGATTTTAAATCAAATGAATGAAATATCAAATTTTCTAAAGCACTTAGTTTTGCTGATAAATAGATTAATAAAATATAAAAAATCTTGGAATATAAACAGAAAAAAAAAGCCAATCACAGACATTTCATTAAAGTAAGACATAACGGAACTTGTAAAACGTAAAGAATATAAGGTTACATTGTGGAACCAGGCGGTCCATAGATATTGATGATGTAATGCCGTTATTGATTACGCTAGATATTGATGTCCTAATACGATATGATGAAAGCTCAACCGCTGAAGTGAATTTGTATAATAGTTTGGGTTGTTTACGGAAAGTATAATTTTAAATGTTAGAACTAGAATAAATTGTATATAATACAGCTCAT